GCTGCGCCCACAGAAGGTCTGTGCTACCGGCCACCCGCCTAGCACCCAGCTTCCCGCCTCGTCCTGCCTCCTGCCTCCTGCCTCGAAACGGGTCTTAGCCCTGTGTATAGAAGTCTCCCCGCCCAGCTCCGCTCTCTGCCCCGCGCCCGCGGATCTTTTAAAAAGCGGCCGGCACACACCGGCACCCCCTCGCGCTCCAGTGTAATCCACACATGGCTCTGGATACCCTCACCTGGCTGCGCTTTTCGGTCACCCTAGCTCTGCTTCTAATGCCCGACTGTTTCTGGGCGGCGCGGACCGGTGAGTTCAACTGAAGAGGACTTGGACCAGGTGGGACTGAGCCTGCGGGGGCGGTGGAGGGGCCTGAGGAGGGGACCCAGGCTCAGTCCTGCCATCAGGTGTACATATGTGACGCCTGTCACATGACTTCCCGCCACCCCTTAAGTTGTATCTTGTCTGGTTCTCATCCTCAGGCCACTGAGAGGAGCTGGAAAGAAAAAAGTCAGGGCAGGAGGTGGGAGGGGCAAGAGGAAAAGAGAATGCTAGCTGGCAATCCCTGGTGATGTCTCCCAGCCCCACCGCTGTCTCCCCAAAGCAGTGCCAGAGCCACAGCCACCAGGGCCAGGTGCCCAGAGGCGTGACCCCACAAGGTTAGGACAACAGATATCCCTAGGCCCGTCTCTGCTCTACACACTCTCATCCCAAGGCTGTTCACCCTTGAATTTCCCACCACAGTTTGCCTGGGGGTCTCAGCACATGCGCCCACAGAGCCTCACTTGCCACCAGCCACAATCACTTTTCTGTGATTCAGTGAGCCACCACCCAGCTCACCTCCCTTCAATGCTTTTCTTATCTAGCCACGCCCCCATCCAGGGCCTCCCTACTTCCCATCCACCTAGGGGACCCTAACCTCCTCCACCACCACCTGGCACCATATACCCATGCCTGAGGACATACCTTGCAAACATCCCCACCTCACCCACAGATCCTAACGCAAGAAGAGGGGGCCCCATTTTTCCAAGTATGACCTTGGTAATGGTATAGAGCTGGGGTCATCTAAGAAACAGATAGTGCAAAGACCTCCTCTTCAAACCCCAATTCTTTTGATCAAGTCCTAAAGATTTCAGACATTTTGCCAGAATAACAAAAATGAGTTTATTGAAGAGATAGGAAAAGGGAAGGCAGCACTCTCAAGGGAGAGAGTGGGTTCTCTCAGAGAGGAAAGAGACAACCTGCCTCTCCTGTGCTCCAGTTGTATTGGGGATACAGAGAATCCTGCCCAGGCCCATCTCTTGGCTTTTATATATATATTAGGTATAGTGGAACACAATACCTTTATTTTATTTATTTTTATGTGGTGCTAAGAATCGAACCCAGGGCCCTGCACATGCTAGGCGAGCTCTCTGCCTCTGAGCCACAACCCCAGCCCACCTTTTGGCTTTTGACTGACATCAGGGTGACATCAGATTTCAAGTTAGCATTGCCATGACAATTCTCTCTCCTTGGCCCATGCTGACTGGTTCTAAATAGAATTTTAATCATTTTTATAGGTTTTATGGTTAGGAGGAATTATCTTTATATTCCAAAATCTGTTCTGTGAAACACCCATCACATAGCTCTCCCTTCAAAGTAACTTGGGTTCCTCTTATCAACATTATTTCCTGCCTACATTTCTTCCAGATAACAGGTAGTTTGCTGAGGAATGTCCAGTAGAGTTAGATAAATTGCTTTTTAGCAAAGAAAGCATATGGGGGTCAGCACAGTGGGACATTTTACAATTATTATTCAGTTATTCTCTTGACATCATGTTCCCACCATCCTCAACTGTCTGTCTAACAGCAAAGGTGCATCTATACATTTCTGTTGTGGGGACATCTATAGACTCCTAACCTTGGATCCTAGGCTCATGTAGTCTATCTCTTGGGAATCCAGCATCATATAATAGTATAAAGTAGGTATGAGTTGCAGACAGTAAAGGCAGACAGTAAGCACTTTCAACTCTGCAGGACACACTATACCTGTCTCTGTATCAAGTACTCAATTCTGCTTTACTGTGAGAGCAACTGAAGACAACATGAAAATGAATGGGGCACTGGATTTGCCCACTGTCCTAGTCATCTGACCCTAGATTAGAGTGTCTCCAGTGTTGGTGCTCATCCCCAGGTTGTCTTCCCTGAAGAGTTCTGCAGATGCATATTTCATAGGGAGACGCAGGTCCTATGTTCCTGTGGCTTCAGGTTGGACTGGTTTTTAGGAGGGGTTCCTGTAGATTGGGGCTGACTGTCCCCCAAAACACACCATTTGCTACCCAGTGGATTCCTTGGATCATTGGGCAGTAGGGTACCTTCCTGAAGTCACAGGTGTGAGCTGAGGGTGAGGTGTTGCACTAAGTAGAGGACAAATGTGTGTCCTCCAGGATGACATACTATTTTAAACAAACTGCCTGGGCAAGGCATTGTCAGAAGATTGTACTTGGCCTTCACTACTAAGAGTTGTCCTGATCTCACAAGTGACTCACTAAGCCCATGGATGATTCATTTCAGTTACAAATTGAAGGAATTTGAAATGACCATTGAGTGGGTCTGTGGTCCCAGACCTCTGTGAGCAGGACCTGAGACAGGTCCATTCATTCCTGGCCCCACATGCACCTACCTTGTCAATGCCAGGAGGCCATGTGATACTTCAGATGCCTGGGCATGAGGGCAGCTCACACTGCCTCCAGGATGAATGTCTGCATGTTTTCTCTTTCTCTATGCACACAGACCCAAGTGAATGGGTGGATGGCCCTGTGGGACAGGCTGAAAGGGGACACTGGCTGGCTCTGTGGTTGAAGGATATCTCCTGATAGGACCCTGGCCTCTCCTCCTAGGAATGAGTTCAGGCTCTGAGACATGACTGAGGTCTGAAAACTAAGCCAACAGCCAGACTTTGGCGGCTGTCAGTCATCCTTGGGTTTTGTTTCACTTCTTGAACTCAGACAGAATCTGGGTTGCCTACCCAGGTGCTTTGCCATGAGGTACCCTGTGATCTCTCAGCTCAGGCTGGCTTTCTGCTTCTAAGAATGTGCAGACTCTTTCCTTCCACCTGTTCATCACGTCCATTTGGGTTCTGTGTTACCAGAATTTTTCTTCTCCATTACTTGCTCAGAGCCCAGTTCTGGAATTCTGTCACCCAGCAAGCACTTTGGCCCTTACCAGTCATCATCAGTGACCTCCTAGACAATGTTGGTGCCCTTCTTGCCAGGTTTTTTATTTTGTTTTATTTTTAATTGCTACATATAAACATAGAATTATATATATTAAAGGAGGTGCCATGTGAAGTTTTAATACTGTGTGAGATTTAAATCATGTTAAATGTGTCTGTCACTACAAGCATTTATAATTTCTTTATGGTGAAAACTTTCAAAATCCTTTCTTTTAGCTACTTGAGATACACAGGACTTTGTTGTTGCTATACTCACCCCACTGTGCCATAGCACACCAGAACTTCTTACTCCTACATAACTGTAACTGTAACTTAGGACCCATCAGTCAACCTTTCCCCAGCCCTCCTTTTTCAATTACCATATACAGCCTCTGGAACCATTCTCAGTTCTCAACTTTTGGGATCAACTTTTTCGGATTCTATCTCCAAGTGAGATCATATGGTACTAGTCTTGCTGTGCCTGACTTATTTCCTTAACATAATGATCCCCATTTCCATCAATTCTGTTGAAGATGACAGGATTTTGTCCATTTTATGGATGAATAGTATTCCAGTGTGTGTTACGTATCACATGGTCATTATCTGTTCATCAGTAGATTGTTTCTGTTCTTTGTCCTTTGTGAATAGTGCTACAATAAACATGGGAGTGCAGGTGTCTTTGGCCTTTGTGAATAGTGCTACAATAAACATGGGAGTGCAGGTGTCTTTGGCCTTTGTGAATAGTGCTACAATAAACATGGGAGTGCAGGTGTCTTTGATAGACTATATTTATTTCCTTTGCCTAATACCCAGTAGAGGAATTCCTGGATCATATCCTGGTGTTATTTCTTTATTTTTTGAGGACACTCCATACTGCTTTTCCTAGTGGCTCTATGAATTGACATTCCCACCAATAGTATATAAGGGTTCCAAGCCAACACTTATTATCTTTTGTGTATTTAATAATGACCATTCTTAGTGGAGGGAAATGATATCTCATTGTAGTTATGATCTGCATTTCAAAGACAATTTGTGGTACTGAGTACTTTTGCATATGCCTGTTGGCTATTTGTAGGTTTCTTCTGAGAAATGTCTGTTCAGATTTTTCTCCATTTTTTATCAGGTTGTTGGGTTGTTATTTTTTTTTTTAGATCCTTATGTAGTCTGGATATTAACCTCTCATCAGATGTGCCATTTACACACATCTTCTTCCATTCAGTATAGTGTCTCTTCACACTGAAAATTGTTTCCTTTGCTGCGCAGAAGCTTTTTATCCTGGTCTAAGTCCAGACCTTCTGGAATGGTATAGTGAGGATGCCTAAAGATCTGTTCCTCATAAAACCATTGAGAAGAGGTAAAAATGGTTTCACCAATCAGCTTTGTCAGGCCTCTGAAAATTAACCAAAACTTACACCAATGTGAGGAGCATTTATTCAAGAAAAATGGCCAAATTTCAGTAAGAACAGTGAGATTTATGGCATGTTAACATATCCCATTCCCATCCCCCACACACACCTTGGAAGTGGCCTGGAAAAGGAGCAAGTGCACAATCTTCTAGGAAAACTAGCATCCCAGCCCAAAAGGTGCACTCTGGCCTTGGTGCACTCTGGAGTTGCCCCATTCATAGGGCTCATCATTATTTGACTACACAGAACTCATT